CCCCACCACCACCACCACCACCACCACCTCTGTCTCCCTCTCTCTCCTGCCCGTCCCTGCCTCTCCTCCCTGTCCCTGCCTCTGTGTCTGTCTCGGGTGCTATCTCTCTCTTCTCCGGTTGTGGGTGAGGTTGTTGACTCAAAATCGTTGTTATGAACAGATATCTCTGCAACTTCATCTGCAGGTGCCTGCTAAATAGACAAGAGGACACAGTACATCCTAACATACTGGCCACACTGCCCTACATCAGGAACATATCAGAACTGACAACGAGACTCCCACGACCACTAGGAATCATTGTGGCCCACAAGCCCACAGCCACTCTATGACAAACACTCACAAGGATTAAAAACCCCATTCCCACAATATGAAGAACCAATGTAGTCTACAAAATACCATGCAGCAACTGCCACAAACATTACATCGGACGGACAGGAAGGAAACTAGCTGTCAGAATACACGAATATCAACTAGCAGCAAAATGACACAACGAACTTTCCTTAATATCAGTACACTCGGACAATGAAGGCCATCAGTTTAACTAGGACAACGTAACCACAGTAGTCCAAGCCAAACATAGACACACAGAGGAATTCCTAGAGGCATGGTTCTCCACCCGTAATGCAATCAACAAACATATAGAATTGAACCCCATATACAAACCCATACAGATCAAAACTGGAAATGACACTACTCACCATAACGGACCGGACAGTATAAATTCCAAGCGGAGTAGATCAACATCACTTCACTGGAGGCCTCACTGATGATGTTACCTTAGCATGGTGACAAAACAAGTCAACAACCTGTCTCTCTTCTCTCTCTCTCTCTCTTTTTCTCTCTGTCACACTCCCTTTTCTCTCTCTCTCTCTGTCTCTCCTTCTCTCTCTTTCTCTCTCCCCTTCCCCTCCTCACTCTCTCTTTCTTTCTCTCTCTCTTTTTCTGTCTTTGTCTCTCCCTTTTCTCTCTCTCTGTCTCCTTTTTTCTCTCTCTCTCTCCTCTCTCTCTTCCCCCCCCCACTTTCTCTCTCTCTCTTTCTTTCTGTCTCTCTCCGCACCCGCCCCAGCTTTTATCTGAATGGGGAAGTAAAGGAAATTCCTAGTGGTTAGCTACTCTCCCTCACCTTTCTCTCTAAGGAGTTCCCTCTGCAAATCCTCTATTGAAAGTAAAAGATGAAAAATCACCTTCAGGGTATTGAAGGGTCAAATCCACAGTACATCTACAACCTCATAGCATCAGTGAAAAAAAAAACCAAAGGAATCAAAAGGACCAAAATAAAACAATTGTTTGTCTGTGATCCAGACCGGTGCCAGAACTGTGATTCTGATTTTTGTTTTTCTTCCCCACCCATAATATTTGTGCCTTTGTTTCTTTGTGTTTTCGTGTATGGGAATTTTAAGAAAGATGATGAGCTTAAATTACAGATTAGAAATTGAACTTGTTGCCATTGTTTAACAAACTGTGTTTGATTACAGTAAGTGGTTGTTTTCTTGTTAATAGAAAACCCTAGTGTGCATATTCTTTTTAACATGATTTATGTGGTTGGGCCGAATTGGGCAATTTGCTGTTTTAATCAAATTTTCTGATAACACAAGGAATAGTGGAGTGTGATTTCTGGGACTAGCCTGGTGAGTCTTGACACTAGTGCATTCACCATGACACCATCTCTACCAATCAAATTCCATTTCCCAAATAATTAGCACACTCTTCTCATACAGAATTAAATCTATTGTTCTCCTTTACATTGGGATTCTTGTAAAAGTTCTGATGAGTAATTAACATAAAGCTTTAACAAATTGTCTCCTTTTTTTCAACAATACTAAAGTATTAGTCCAAGATACTTCAGTTGCAATCTCATCAGATTTGAAAGTCATGCCTCCTTGTTTGTAGCACGGCCCTCCATCAGCTTGTACTTTTTAAGAGTTAGATCTTTGAAGGTGTCTAACTTGAGCTGACACATCTGATGCTGAATTTTCATTCCAAGTGCTGACAAGCTAAGGATGGAAATCTGGCATCTCCTTTTACTGAACTGCAATTGACCTGAGTTTTCTGATGGAATGAGGCTGTCTATTGGCTATTTGCTTTGAATGCAAAGCGAAGGCCTCATTCATGCATTGAAATGGCTTGCCTGGCGCCCACATGTTGTTAATAATGAAACAGATGTCACAGCAGCAATGTTCATTTTAAAATTGCCTATACCAACCTTTTATGAACACTGCCATCTTTTTTGCTTTTGTTGGTATCTTGACATTGCACAATGACTTCTTCCTTTTGGCATGGCAGCCCATGTGTTTCCTTTCCACTGGTTTCAATTTTGCTGATTGATACTGTTCCAATGGCAGCTGATCTTAATACAGAAGTCCAATTGAGTTGAAACCTTATCATCTTCTAACCATGGAGCTCAGTTCTTGAACTATTTCGTAAAGTTTTACAGGCGTACTTTTTGCCCAAACAAGAAAGTATTTATTAGATTAGCTATGAACATGAATGATATTATGCTTGGCAAAAAGGTTGGCAAGTTTTTATTACAAATCCAGAAAAGGAATCAAGCTTGCAGTATTCCTTATGTTATAGAAATATTGTCGTAAACCAAATCACAGTGAAGATTTAACACCAGCTCCACACCAAGGCTCAGATTGGCACAACTGTACTAGGTTCACTTTGGTGAATTTTTGTGTATTCATTTAGACACTACTTTCTTCAGCTGGTATCTCCCATGAGAAACTTTAAAAAACAAACTTCCAGCTAAACCCACTATTACTTTAACTTCAGAACAGACATTCGAGTCCCTAAACTCAGTTTTGAGCTGTAATACAGGATTTCTGACTTTGGGCTGCACTCTCCTGCACACCCACACTCAGACCGACCCATTCCACTCTGGATGGTTCTGATTTGATTTATTACTGTCAGGTGTACTGAGATACAGTGAAAAGTATTGTTTTGCGTGCTATCTAGACAAATCGTACCTTACATAAGTACATGAGGGGTATAGAACAGAATGTAGAATATAGTGTTACAGCTACAGAGAAGGTGCAGAGAAAGATTAACTCTAATATGAGAGGTCTGCTCATAAGTTTGGTAATAGTGGGATAGAAGCTGTTCTCGAATCTGTTGGTATGTGTTTTCAAACTTTTGTTATCTTCTGCCCAATAACCAGAGTGGGAGAGGTCTTTGTTTTGGCTGCTTTCCCGAGGCAGTGGGAAGTATAGACGGAATCAAATCAAATCACCCCTAGCACTAGGCAACAGCTATTTTTTCTACTTTTTGTTCAGACACTAAACACAAACTCCCATCTCTTCACTTTGAGGGTTGTCAAACCTCAAGAGGCATGTAAGCAAACAGGTATCCAGAGTTTATGTACCAAGTCAACATGAACAGCTCAAAAATAAAACTAAAACCATGTCCCTCCCTCCTTAACTCAAAATTTAAAATAAACTTAAAGTTAACATATCTGTCGCATTAAAAGCTCTTTGCCTGACATGAGCTGTCCTCACTTATGCTTGGACATTAGCAGTTGCTAACTTGGTAGTAATACACATAGCTCTGTGTCAAAGGGTCCCATGCTGGAGGCTTGAGCACAGAAATTTAGCCAGATCCTCAGTACAATGCTGAGGTGCCATTTTTTTTAGATAAGCTCTTAAATTGAGGTCCTATGTATTTTCTCAAGTGGACAAATAAGGCTCTAATTCAATGAAGAACAGGGGAGTTAAATAGATTGGTGAAGTTGGAACTATTTTCCTTGGAGAAGAGAACATTGGGAGGGGATAGAGGTGTTCAAAAGATGAAGTAGTTTGGACAGAGTAGATAGGGAAGAAATGTTCCCATTGAAAGAAGGATTGAGAATAAACGGGCACAGATTTAAAGTAATTGGCAAAAGCAACAATGAGGAACCCTTTCACATAGTGAATGGTTAAAGCTCTGGAATGTGCTGCTTGAGCGTACAGTGGAGTTATCTTCAGCTGAACCATTCAAGAGAGAATTAAATTATCTGAAAAGAAAAGAATGTGCAGGATTATGATGAGAAGGCTTTACCTGTTGTGTGTGTATTTTGGGTTAAATATGTATTCGCATATGACAAATTACTTATTCGAAGGGCCAACACAGGCATATCAGACCTTCTGTACTGTAGCAATTCTGGGATTCTGGTGTTACTTCACATGAAGGGATATAGAAAACAGAGGAGCTTACTCTGTGCATTGCCAGGATAACTCGCCATGACCAAAGTACTCTCCTGCTCTGGTGTGCCTTGAGTATGCCTGAGTTCCTTGACAGTGACAACATTTGGTAAACAATCTGAAATGTCCTGAAATTCTCTACACATGTAAGATGAATTGGCCCCTTGACAGGAATACCATTTTACCCCTGACCAGAGTTCCTTCTTGGTAAGGTGCCTTTGTTACAATTTTGATGTGGAGGTCCCCAGTGAGAATGACTTGCATTAAATCGGCAGTCTTGAATTTTTTCTGAAGGGTCCTGACCCGAAACGTCAACTTTCCTGCTTCTCTGATGCTGCCTGGCCTGCTGTGTTCCTCCAGTTCCACACTGTGTTATCTCTAGTCTTGAATGCAAGTCTTAATACTGACTGTTTGGGAAATTTGAGTGATTATCTGGGAAAAGTAGGGTTGAGAGATGATAATTTTCTCTTCAGGGATGTGGGGCAGATCCTTTCTAACAAGAATGGAACCAACATGTTGTTTAACAGTGCTCATCTGAATTGAGTTAGAGTGAAAATTGCATACTGGGCATTGGAGTGCTTAATGAGAAATTATACATGAACCTTGTGTTTAAATTATACTGTCTCTGAATCAGCGTGAATAAAGGGCAATAAGTCTGGAGGAAGATTACCTCGTATTTAACCATACTTAAAAAGTGAGTTGTCCTAAACAAATTTGAGAATGAATGGGGGCAGCAAATGATGTTCACATTTTCCTTTTGCCTTTATAAACTAGCACAGTTCTCTGCGAACTAAATGTCCTTCTATTCTAACTAATGCATTAGCAGTGCAATCAATTTAAGATGATAGCAGTTTGCAGAGAGATTTATTGTTTATGTGCACATGATCAGTTTTCTTTCCTGTGTTTCAGGGCGTATCAGGAGCTGTTGGGCTTCCATTAGCTGTGCAATGTGTAGCTTTGCCTTGGCAGGATGAACTCTGCCTGCGTTTGATGAAAGAAGTGGAAAGAGTTACTCAAAAGAAGAAGATGGTTTAAAGAGCTCAGCTGTTGAAGCAAGCTTTCAAAAAAGCTGCTTCCAACTGAACCAGCATGCAGATGCTGCTCAACTTGTGGAGGACGGTGCAACAAGTTTTCAGTAATTAGATGCATAGTTTGGCATATTATCTATTTGACAGTAATTAGTATAATTTAAGGATTTAAATACTTTAAATCAAATGGTGATGTATTTCATATATTTGAAAGATGTAAGCTAAGCTGCATACCTTTCACTGTGATCCTTGAATGCTTGCGTTGGGCTGCGTAGAAACATAGAAAATAGGAGCAAAAGTAGGCCGTTTGGCCCTTCGAGCCTGCTGTCCCATCCATTATGATTATGGCTGCTCATCCAACTCAGTAGTGCATTCACCCTTTCTTCTCATATAACCTTTGATCACTTTAGCCCCATGTGCTCCATCCAACTCCGTCAAAAATCATATTATGTTTTGGCCTTGATTGCTTTCTGTTGTAGCAAACTCTACAGGCACACCACTCTTTGGGTGAAGAAATTTCTCCTCATCTAGTGCGGATGCTTTACATTGTGACCCCTGGTCCTAGACTGCCTTGCCATCAAGAACATCCTCTTGCATTGACGCTGTTTTGTCTTGTTAGAATTTTATACGTTTCTGTGGGATTCCCCCACATCCATTCTTCTGAACCCTAGCAAATGTAATCCCAACCAATTCAATATCTCTTCATATGTCAGTCTTGCCATCCCAGAAACCAATCTGGTAAAATTTTGCTGCACTCCCACTATAGCAAGAACATCCATTGATAACGAGACCAAAACTGCCCCCACAATCCCAGGTGTAGTCTCACCAAGGCCCTTTATAATTGTAGCAAGACATAACGGCTCCTACACTCTAATCCTTTCGCTATGAAAGCCGATATACAATTTGCCTTCCTTACCATCTGCTGATTGTCGCTGTGTCATTGGTCTAATATCATACGTTATAAAATTAAACAGCAGATACTCTTCTTAGGAACAGGTAGCCAAGTTCCCTGGGTGTGTTTAAACTCTGATTATCCCTCTCATCAAAAGCACCTAGAAGAATCCTTGACACCATATTTCAAGAACAACCATCATTGGCAAAGGCCTTTGAGGTACCTGCATGCGTTAGGTGACCTTTGTCTTTGCGTGCCATAATGTCACACTGGCAACAACCTCCTCAATCCACACATTATCATTTTTGCTTTCCAGAACTAACACTAATTAGTCAGACATGTTTGTTCTCCTAAAATAAACCTCTACAGAGAGAAATCCATTTTCTTCAACTTTACTTGTTGTATATGTACATATTCTGGGTTTTATAAATGTGCTGTCTTACTACAAACGGTTAGCCAGTTTTGCATCATCATTGAATAGGTTTTGTTTATAATAAATCAAGAAATCTGTGTTTATTGAAGAAACTGGTTGAATGATCTTTCGTTTTAAATCTAATTTAGAAAAAGTACATGACTTGACCAAATTGAACAGGTTAAAACAATCAAATTAATGTTCTGAACTGTGAAGTAATGGAAGTACAAAGTCAATACATGTCTTCCATCTCAGTAAAAATGCTCTCTTTTATCTTTCTCTCTTTATCCCATCTTTATCATCTTAGTTTTCTGTACATGATTTTACAATGAATTTCTATAATTTATACTTCTGATTTTAACTTGGCATGTCATGGTAAGGATTCTTCGATCTGATTGTTTGATGAGTGGTGCTCTTGCTTGTCCTGCTTGCTCATGCCATATGTCCCCTGCAGAGGGCCTTCTGTCCAACAGAATCTCTAAATACCATACTGTGCTTGTTAGAACATATGAAGGTTGGATAAGTGACCATGGGTGACTGCCAGTTCTCCACTGGTGACTGCAAAGTCCAGACTCTTCCTTTAATCTTAAACCCCCTTTTGCCCTGGGTTCTGAGTTAAGAAGTTTTTGAACTGCTGTATGCATATTTTGAAATCAGCAGAACCTCTTGTATCCATTTAAGCAGATAAATTGATTTAAAATGTGTTGTATTGTACTGATATGGAAAATGTACCTTTTCTAAATATATAATGGCCTCAGTTCCACCCTCTAATAGTATCTAGCATGTTTATTATTTTCTTGGAGCATACATTGAATTAATTAGCAGAACCTATCTCTTTCACTCGTAAGGCAATTGTGAACTCAGACATAAGATTAACCACAATACCTTTGCAACACATCTTGGATTAAGACAGGTTGTACACCTGACCACTGATTTTAATAAAACAACTTGTGTAACTTTCTAATGTTCATTGTATTTGATTTTTATTTTAGTCACTTGGAGAATTAAGGATCATGTCTAATCTAATGACAGTATTCATTCCTTATTTGTTGTTTCTCACTTTGTCAGCACTTGATAAAACATACAATATAAGATGTGTAACCTAGCCTTGGTTTGGTCTGCTGTGGCTCAGTGAATATAATTATATTAATGTCTGTGAATGATTACTGTACTTATTATAGTAATAGAATGCAGCTTGGACCTCTGAAGAATTAATGACACATGAAACTATTTGGGTTTTTACTACGCTGAGCTGGCTGGATTGAAATGTGTAAATATTCTTTGAATTTTTTTCCCATTATATGCATTTAACAGTGTTCTTCTTATCACTTTAACCTGCACTTTAGCGGGAAAAAGATAACATATGGTAATACAAGAAATAAAATTTTGGTGCCCTTTCCCAAACCCCAGTGTGGAAGAAGTAGGAGCTTTATGTAATAGACAATGGTAATGCATTGTGATAATTTCAAAGTTTGAACAGAGGGTAGAACAGGGAGTTAATAAAATCGTCAATGTTGCAGATTTACAACTGAGGATCAGGGAATATTTATACAGGGCTTTATCTCAGAATGCTAAATTGAGGGAATATGCTTCATGGCGAAGTTGGCTGTACATGCTGTATGGAAGGAATGAGTTTGACATGCTCAATACCTTTTCTTGTTGATTTCTTTCTTATGTTATAACCATGAAGGATATCACTATAATATTTCTAGTTTTCTATTGATATATAATAAGCATTCACCCCTAAATGGCAGTAGAAAATGGAGCGTTAGCACATTCAAAATGCATTAGTGTAGCTATAGCAATAAGATGCACGGTCAGACTTTGGTGGAGAAAGGTTCATATGTTTCAGTCTGTGTTCCTTTAAGGAGCATTCAATTCAAATCAGAAGTGTCCTTGGGTTATTATATTGTTCTCTACAAGGTGCTTAGGTTTTAGTAAAATGTGACTTTTCTAATTTGAATGTAATTTATTTTCTAGTGATGTTTGGTTCAACATGTGCGTGCACCCAATTATTACTGATGATTGCCCTTCTTGTATTACAGTTCTGTTAGCTGGTTCTGCAATAAGCAGACAGTAAGAATTTTCTCCTAGCAGTTACAAACCAAATCATGAGGTGAAAGGCGACAAACAAATCACATGTTTGCTGATGCGGCTGGTGCAGCAAACTAAAAGAAATGACCTTGAGTATTCCTGGTATAAATGTCATTTTGTGCCTATGTTTCCATCATCACATCTCCAACAATCTTGAGAGGTTATTTGTAGTATTAACTTGCAATTTTCAAACAGAAAAGCACATTCTAGTGAGTTGGCTTTAGGAGTGACTTTTTTGGCAATCTATTCAAATGATCTTGGGGGTATAATACTAAAGATCTCCAAATGTGTTTGACAAAAAGAAATCAGTTTGTTCTTTCTAGCTGATCAAATGCACTAGAGAGCTCAATGGTTCCAGTTTATTAAAACAAAGGAAATTTCATCAACGGAATAAGATTAAGTTATTAATCTTCTGGAGTTTTTATTTGATTGTTAAAATTTATTGGCTATTTTTTAAGTAATGCCAAGAAGATGACATGAGCTGTTTTTCAGAACTGCCGGAATTCTTGTGCTGATAGAGCTATAAGGAGGCCAAGTTTTATCCCTGTGCGACATGAATAGTGGTCCTTCTTTCAGTAGTTCCATGCAATCTTGTAGATCTGAGAAGGCATATAATGCCTTGTTTTGATTGAAGCTACTTTGACATGGTAACACTACCTCAGTTTTGCACTGAAATATCAGCCTAAATTATGTGCTCAAGATTCTCGACTTTAACTCACTACCTTCTGATCTAAAGGCAAAAGAGCGATGTATGGGAAAGTATACTAGTGCATTGTATTTTGGTTTATGATGCAGTTTATTGAGTGGTACGAGAAATATGACAGAATTTCACTGACAGCTATGTTGATGGGTCAGATTTTTCCTATTCTGAACCATTTGTTATTGAACTGCCTTATCACCATTTAAGCAACCTAATGGAGAGGATTGCAGGTTTCTGTCCATCAATTTATATGGATGAAAATGCAGATTATCCTGTATTCGCTTTAAAGCTATGCCATTTACAGGACCAACAGACTTCCTCCTAACACAGTGCAATGCCTTTTTTGGAGCATATTGCATGAGAGCATTATGTTAATGTAAGACATATTGAAAAATAATATTACGAAGTATGAAAGGAATTGAAAGAATGACATGCATTCACACCTATATCTGAAGTTGTTTCACCAAGGCATATGCAGTAAATGAAGATTCTGTATTGAGGTGTATGGTTGGTCAAATGTTACATCTAGTTTTTTGCAAAATGCACCTGGGGACACTACTGTGAGATTTGTGGTTCTGGAGGATGAGGGAATGCAAAGTTAGCATTCTGTTAAAGGGACAGAACTCAGCTTAAGTCAAGAAATAGAAGCTTGTATTACAGAATAATACCAGGGGAACAATTGAAATCGGCGAGTTACATTCCCACAAGCAGTGGATTGCAGTTAAAGAATTTATGACTTTGAAGTTGTTTCTTGATTTTCCTTTTGTTTCTCTATTAACCTAGTTGTTCGTTCTTTATCTTTTTTCAAGTACCAGATTAAATGCTGATCAATTTTTTTGTGTTGTTCCTCTGTTCCTCTCTTGATCCTTAAGTTAGTGTTGGTTCCATCATTCAGAGTTTCACTAAGATCCACTGAGATATCAAACTGCTCTGTTATTAGCTTCTACTTTCACATGTTTGAACTGAGTAAGTGAAGGAAAATATCCATCTAATGGCAAATGCTCCATCAAGATTTGGCTCAGTCTCTTGCCATTAAATAAACTGAAATGCTGGTAGGCAATAGCCACCGGAGGGCGCTGGTCATCTTCCTCCAGTCTCAGTAGCCAACTATCATTTGTTATAGTGATTAGTGAGATGGTTTTGGGCATGAACAATTGTATAGTTTGGCGTTTGTACATGTTTAAATACTGGTGAATGCCCAGGGACTGGATTTACTTCCAAGAGAACAGCAATGATACAAGCCTCACATACAATACACTTAGGTCTGCTCAATTATTGAGCCTGTGTTTAAATATACTGTGATGATTTCAATTTAGTCCAATTCAGTTGATTGGAATGCTTTAATGGTAATGAACATATACAGTTCCAAATTGTGTAATGTTTAATATTTGTGATCTAAATAAATCAGAAATCAATTAATCTTCTGAAAATGTCTGACATCAGAACAGTGTCTGTATAATTTAGTTAGTGGAATTATGATTCTACATTTGTCAGGTCGTACGTAGTAATCAGCTACAAATCAATTGTTGACATTTGTAATGACATCTTAGTTATTTACCTCAAATGTGAATATTACCTGGTGTAAATATAGTATAGAGGCCCTTGACAACCATGGTCAGGACAAAATGAATAAATCGGTAAATGAATTTACTCCAACTTTAAATAGGGAAGATGGAACTTGATCAAATTCCTCAACATAATGTTTTATCCCAAGTGGAATGAATTATTGTGTGTATGTGTGTGCCCAAAATATTTCAAAGTTCTGCATTAATATGGGTGGCACAATGGTTCAGTGGTTAGCACTCCTGCCTCACAGCGCCAGGGACCCAGGTGTGATTCCACTCTTGGGCGATTGTGTGGAATTTGCACATTCTCCTTTTGTCTGCGTGGGTTTCCTTCAGGAACTCCAGTTTCTTCCCACCGTCCAAAGATATGCAAGTTAGATGGATTGGCCATGCTAAATTGCCCCATAGTGACCAGGGATGTGCAGTCTAGGTGGATTAGCTATGGGAAATGCTGGGTTACAGGGATTTGGTATGGGTGGGATGGAGGGGTGGTGTGGATTCAATGGGCTGAATGGCCTGCTTCCACACTGTAGGGATTCTTTGAAATGTGCAAGTTTATTCAAATCTGGAATAAGCCTTTAAATTAAGAGATTGAAGGATGATTGGCAAGTGGCACTGATTAGAACACTGATGTTGGGAATCTGTGAATGTCTCATGTGATACACCACTCTATATTAGTATAGATTTTTGGTTACTGGATGGAACCTTCCATAGCCTTGAATGACATGGGTAATAGTGAAAAATTTGGAAAAACAAGGAGAAAATGAAAAATTGAATTCTTAATGTTGAGAAAATAGATTCCAATTTCCCCTTAGGGTTTAAACAGTTAGTTGCAAATCTTGCTAATGAGTGGTGACTACCTTATTTCCATGCATTTGCATCTCATTGTTAGCTAAACGTGTCTGATTTCTAAGCAACTCCCGATTCTCCCAGCTTTCCCTGGGAAATTAGACAGTGCCAATTCCCGACATGGCAGTCAGAGCTGTTAACTGGCAGCAGATGCTCGTCGCTTGCTTTGCCGGGACTTCAGACAGCTCCACCTTCACCAACATTTCCCTGCATACTTCAGACCTCCTTCGTCCACACAAGGTGGCATCGCCACACTACCAGCCTCTTCATATCATCACAACTGTGTTTAGACCAATGCATTTCACTTCAGATCTTTAAGACTTTGGATCTCAGGGACACCTACGACTTGCATGGTTGCCACTGTGCACAAAGCAACTTGGTGGAAGCGTGCATCTATGTAGGATGAATCTCAAAGCTCTTAGCTTTCTTTCTTAGTGCTCACTCAGTTTTCACTTGGAGGCTGCGAGCCTTTGTGACTTGCATTGCCTTTTAGCACAGAAGGAAAGGCAGGCAGCTTGTCATAGTTCAGAATGCTGCATAGTCAAGGGGTTAGACATATTACTGTACAGCATTGTGCTATGTCAGTGTCACCCCTGCAGAATGTGCCAGCAGCTTACAGGCAAACACACTGTAGGTGCTTCAGCCAAGTGGCTATGTCTGAAAGTCAAAGAGAACCAGTTGTTGGTGGGGACAAGGGAAACCTCGGATAATCAGGCAGGCTACAATCAGTCATGGGGTTTGTTCAATTCCAGT